TCTTTTAAAATCAATTTGACAAAGGGATTTCTTTGGAAGAAAGGTATTTGTTTTGTTCACTGTTTTGTAAATAACATTTTCAAACTCATGATGCTTTTTAAGGCTGAAAAGAAAGCCATATTGGAAATTAGAGTTGGATTCTAGCCAATATTCTGACAATGTGTCACCTAACCTTGACATTCAGATTAACACAGATCCCTTAGTTTCTGCCATGAATATTTACATATACCAAAGTTCAACTGTCCACTTTATTTGAAAGAACCTTTATCAGACTGGTGATACATCTACTCTCTATTATATAGAAAAAAATTTTAGAAAAATTGGGCTATTGCCAATTTATTCATATCATTGCATACAGCCATCTGGCAAATATTTTCCTTAATTGCTTTTTGGTGTGTTATGCACAGCAAGGAGCTGCTGTAACTCTCCTGACTACAATTTTTACGTAAATATAGAACTTATCCTTTTTAAGTAGATATTTCCACTTTCCGTTCACTCTTTGCCTCCTTTGTGTAAGTTCGAACTCTCTTTTTCTAAGCACACATATCATTCACTTTAATAATGGACTTCTGAGATATTTTATGGAAGTTTCTGCAAAATGACACATATATATATATATATGCAGGTGAACATTCCCGTGTATATGTATGTGTGACATGTACACACAAGAAAGAGTCTAACGGTAAACCTTTTTCATTTCTTGTTCTCCTAATCTACCATTTATGGTGTGGATATTATATTTCACCTGTCAACAAAAATTAAATATACTTTAATACCCAAACTGAACATTTGTTGATTTTCTACATACACCTGCAGACTCTTCATCACAGTTTTCTCATAAAACTGTATTTAGTTTTTACATTGTTTATCAACATGTCAGAATTAACTGTGACACTTTAGAATTATATTTTAATTTATATTAGTCTGTGAACACTACTGCGTACGAGTTGAATCAGAATCTGATGGAATATAGCCTTTAAGTTTTTTGGGGCATTCTGATGTACTTCATCTTTGTTTAAGACCTGTTTTTTGTGTACATTATGTGGCTTCTATCAAGTTTAGATGATTTTTAATAACTAGTGGTGCATTATAAAACCTACACTTGTTTTCATTTGAAATGGAAAACAAGGAAATGCAATTAACACTATACATTACTTGCATTTGTATATTTGACTACTTAGAAGAAATATCCAGGATCTTTAATTTTTTTAAGAAAAACTTTAAACTTTTAAGAAATGTTGAGTGATTTTCTTACCCTATTCAGCAGCTATAACAAAATACCATAGACTGAGGTAGCCTATACATAGCAGAGATGTAGCAGAGATGTATTTCACACAGTTGTGGAAGCTGAAAAGTCCAAGATTAAGGTGTCAGCAGATTTGGTTTCTGGTGAGGATCAGCCTCCTGTTTCACAAATGGCAGCTTTTAGCGGTGTACTCACATGGTAGAATGGGCAAGGTAGCTCTCTGTGGCTTATCATGTAAGAGTTCTAATCCCATTCATGAAAGCTTTGCCCTCGTAACTTAATTAGTTCCCAAAAGTCCAACTCCTGAAACTATTACATTGGTGATTAGGTGTCAATATATGGCATTTAAGGGGACCCAAACATTCAGCTTGTAACAGTACTCTTAGCAACTTATTCAATTTCATGTCTTCTAAAATACATACTATGCTTTTTAGGACATCATAGGTGATTAGCAAATGTTAGTTAAATGAATGAAGAGTATTCAGAGTAGGGTGTGGGTGATAGAATGATGGTTAACTTGCATTTTGTTGTTTTCATTTGTAATACATTAAATTTCATATCAAAGTTATAAATTCTTACTTTGTAATAATAAATTCACTATTACACCTTGTGTAGGACAGATTTTTTACAACACGAAGCTGTGAAAGCTCTTGAAAACTTCTGTTATCACTTAACTATTCGAACAGCATTCAAAAACTTATTTAAATTAGTTGTATATGGAAGGATATAAAAGTGGATTCACCTAATTATTCTAAACTAATTGTAATCCATGATGCTGCTGTGACCTTGAAGAAAGACTCATTGGCATGTTGAAATATCACATAGTCTTACTGGATTTGAACATTTAATGGCATCAGAAACACCACCCACATTAAATTCATGGGGCAAAACAAGCTTTAAGAACTAGGCCTAGGGAACTGATTTTTTTTAATGGCTTTAAGTTACAAGTGTTGTTATATGCTTCTGCGACATAAAATTACATGTTTTATAACTTTTTCAAATTTATCACAATTAGGAATGTAGGATATCTTAAATTTGCACCTTAGTTCTTTGGTATAGAAATTGGAGAAAATGTAACTATTTTTGTAAGCCTTATTAATTAAAGGATGAATGCACACATGTATTCAACAGGAACCCAATGGAATAATATAAAGTGCTTCTTGGTCTGGTATCTATAACATTTATAGTGAAATCAGATTATTATAGATATTAATTATGTTTTATTAAAATTATAAGCAAATAATTTGCACATGGATGAAGAGATTGCCAATATCCTTTTCTATAGACTATACAAGGTATTTATCAGTATCTCAACAAGCCAAAACCACATCCATTCACATCTTTAACAATTTTCACATTTATTTTAGAAAATAAAAAATTAAACTATAGACATTGTGATTATTATTGAGTGTTAAAATAAAATGGAGGTGCAGTACAAGACACCTTAGCAATTATGTAGTCATAATTGTTTGCATGCATACAGCATTTAACACAGATTAATCAGAATATTGTTATGTTGAAATAAAATTTGTCTTATTAATTGGGAAAAGGTTTAGCATACTAGAGGTTTAATTTAAAGAGTGGGAAAGAATGTGTACATTGGTAATTTTTGGCACTTAGGAAGAAGCAGAACGTTATCTATCTTGGATGTTTTTATTGGTCTGTATATCTGCACAATTATCCTGTGATCTACCACTAGGGCGGGTGTTGAGGGATGGAACTTGAATAGTCAATGGGAATTAAAGACACTGTGCTTGAATCTGTCATGCCAAGTAAGGAATCAAGACTGTGCCTGTAACACAAGAGAACAAAACAAGAGTGTAAACTACTCGAACGAAGGTGTAAGGTGCGCTTTCCCACAGATAATTTAATAAGATCCTGACTGTTGGGAACAGGACACAAAATTATTGACAGCTTGTAAAAATCTCTGACCTGCAAGTGCAAACTTGAGCTATGGGTTATGTAGACTGATTCAGGTACCCATTCCAAATACCTGTTCCAGGATGGCATGAGGACTGGCCAATCAATAGGAGACTGAGAGTATGTGAGGAAAGAAAACTAAAACTTTAAATACAGGAAGACACTCCCCTCCCCAAATAGTAAAATATCATATAACTCATATGCATAAAAATTGGCTGAACACTAAATATTATAGTTGAATGTAAACTGCATATTATCAGGGCAATACAGATGCTTTAGTCTCTTCCTTTTCATATGCCTTGTCAAGAAGAATTAAACAGAAGCTCTGAAACGTTGACCTAATTGTGCTTTTTAATGGGTTCTGTAAAACAGGTATGACTGTCATTCTTCCAACTTAAATAAGCAAAACTATGCCTATGAATTATTAAATAACTGTTTAATACATTATTAAATGTTTGTGTCTGTGAACTTGAGTAACCAACTTAATTGAAATGTTGTGTTAGATCATAAGCCCCTTTGAAGTTATTTATAATCAGTTGCTAGAAAGAATTTTCCAAGATATATTGAAAATATACTAAGCTATAAGTATTTCCAAGGTACAAATTACAATAAAACTGTTTAAATTGTGGAATGTAACAATGGACAATGATGTATGACCTTGAGTCAACTGACAATGAATAAAATAGAACATATTAAAAGTATGTTTTAATTATCACTTCAAACCATTTAAATGTCTTTAGACTAATAAAATCCAATCTGTACTAGGCAGCAGGGGAGGGAGGAATTGATGTCTCTGTTGTAATATTAATACCAGTTAGAAGACTTTGTAATATTTAGAGCCCAAGTGGGCTGCCATCTACTAAATGTCATAATTTTATTTCTTGTTTTCACTGTTAGGATGACCTTGGGTAAAAGACAGCATCTTTTTATTTTAGCTTCTTTATGGTAAAATATACATGGTTGTAAGTTTTAGCTTTTATTCATTCGGTTTATTTGATGATATCAGATTCTGATTCTAAAACTGTGAAAACTTGAAAGGTGGAACTACTTTTGTGGAGATTATTGTAGAGGAGACCTTAAGAAAAAAAAAACAAAAACCTTTGACATTTTCTCCCTGTATCTGCTTAGCTTATAGGCTAAAATAACCATATAAAAATAAGTTACAATTTAATTATTAAAACTCTCAATATAATTTTTCTCATTGCATCATTTTATATAATACTCAGTAAGTTTTTAGATTCAACCTAAAATGATCTGCTTACTGTTATAAATATTTTTTCTTTTTCTTTGTTCTATGTTCAATAATGTAAACCTAGTTGACATTGGGCTATAAGATTTGTATCCTTAATAGGCAGGGGTTGAATAGGATCATTTTTTTAACCTAGACTGGCACATTGATGCCTCATGTATGCTGTGATTTCATGTAAAAATAATTCTGAATCTGTGAAATATATTGATTTTGTACTTTAATGTGATTGCTTTATCGACACCTTGACATTCCCCACTCTCAGCATCCTATTAAGAGATAACTTTGAGAACATGAAATGCTAATGGTCGCTAGGCTACCGGGTCAGGAATTTATTGCCATTTCTAGGGTTGATAATGGATTTGGCTTGGGTTTTATTTATTTACTTATGAGATGAGTCTTGCTCTGTCACCCAGGCTGGAGTGCAGTGGCACGATCACAGCTCACCGCAGCCCTGAACTTCTGGACTCAAGTAATCCTCCTGTCTCAGCTTCCTAGATAGCTGGGAATGTAGATGTACCACAAAATGCCCAGTTAATTTATTTTTATTTATTTATTTTTCATGAAGACTGGGTCTTGCTATGTTTTCCAGTCTCAAATTCCTTGGCCTCCCAAAGTAATGGGATTACAGGTGTGAGCCACAATGCCCAGCCTAGCTTGGGTTTTAAAGTATAGGGAGACATCTGGTATGGGTGGGAGCTTGTCCTGGTCACATGAGGCAGGATGGGAAAAGGACAGGGAGCTTGCAGCTAGTCATGGAAATGGATCCATCAACAAAGGTCTAGGTTATTGCAGAGGTTGTCTGTTATAAAATTCTACTCTTTTAGAGTCTGCTATTATAAAAACTCTGATTCTGCTCTGTGTTAAAAAATTGAAATAATATGTGTGTTCTACACATAAGATAAAATATACAAGGGCTGAGTAGTGTCCCTCAGAAAACTGAGGAGAAGAAACAGTGGCAGACACTAGCCGAGTCTTGCGATGTTCCCCAAAAATGATACTTGCCATATTATTGCTTTCCCCTCAACCCCCAAAGACAGCAACATAGCATTATGTCAAGACATTGGGACTAAAATATCCTGGAAAACCTGTCCAAAGCACCTACTTAGAATTTCTTAGCCATATCTGAGGATTAGTATGGGATTGGAAGGACTGGCCAACCTTCCATTGTGGAAGTCAAGAGCTCATACTCCATAATGTGTCTTAGAGGAGGACACAGAAAATAAACAATTGCTTTTCATGCCATGAAATAATGGAAGTGCATTGATAGATCAAACTTGAATGTGCAATATATTGTTTTCTCTTATCTCTAACCAAATACAAGTTACATTAAGACATTTTATTAGAAAAATGGGTTAATTTGGCAAGACCGTATCCATTGCTAAATATTGACTCTTTTGTACTTACTGAACTTAGGCAATAGATTGAAAACATAAAAGGTTAAAATGCAGTGTTTATTTACAAATGGAAATAATTCTAAACTACCTGATCATTTGAGGTTCATAACCGGAAAACACTTGAATCACCTAGATTCTATAAGTTGATGAATTAATTTATTTAACGATTTTCAAAATACTGAGATATTTAAGAGCACCAGCACACTCCATGACATATTTACTCTAAGAATTCTTCATAAAGTATAAGTAATTAAAAACTTAAGGAGTATAAGAGACTTCAAGAACAATTTCTTGTTTCAGAGTTATTTAAGAGTACCATGATGGTGAGATCTGATTCAGGAGGACAAGTTTACCTTGATTATCACAACAGGCAGGGCCTCTTAGTTGACTGGAAATACAATGAAGCACTTTATCTTGAAGAAGGGCAACCAGAGACTTATTATAGGACAGGTCAGCTGGACCGTTGCCCGGGCCTGTAATCTATAAGGAATGTCAAAATGTCATTAAAAGGCAATGAGGTGGAGAACATCTTATTTACTAGAACTCCCCTAGAGGGAGAATGTGTTGTAGTTCAAAGGGATACTTTGATAAATTACCAGTGGTGTGGGGTAAGGCAGAGGAGGGAGAGAGTTGGGAGGGTGGGAAATGGGAGAAACCACTAGGCTGGATGCCAAGGTAGCTTCCATATAGGAGAAGTACAGGAGTTTACTAATACTCTCCCCAAACACACACACACACACACACACACACACACACACACACACACACACGGATTGGTATTATCAAGTGTTTCCACCAGCTGTTTATTTCATAGATTGCTAAATACATTTTAACAGTCTTAAACTCAGTACTAAATAAACCTACACATTAATACTATTTTAAAAATTATACCTTTATTAGGATTCAGTTCCAAGGTCAACACCATCTCCTCCCCGAATATGAACGTAGCAGTTCTTGAGCCATTTCCTCTAAAAAGCACAGAAACTTCTTGCTTAACAAAAGCATGTCTGACGTCCAGCAAATTATTTTTATGAGGAGAAACAAAATACTGTGGTATTTACCAGGAATTGTGATAATTCATTTATACACACACTTTATTTAATCCTTGCCATGACCGTAGATGACTTACATATGCTAAGAGCCAGGACTGTAGTCCAATTCAAATCTGACCCCAGAATCCTTAGCATGTTCGATGTGTTTCTGGAAATAGCCTTAGTTTCAGTACCATAAACCGCAGTTGCACTTTTTACCACCTAATGTGTTAGTGGGGATTATTTTATTATTACATTTAGTTACAGAAAATAACTAGGCTAAGTATACTGAAATATGGAATACATGCTGCAGGAAAAACAAAGCAAACAACAGCAACAACAACAACAAAAACAACAACAACAAAAAAAAACAGGGCACACATTTTCCAGAAGAACAGCTTGGTCCAACATTGAAGTGCTGTTAGTTTGCTCTGTGCTGTGGTCATTGCTTCTTTCTACATGTCCCTGTCCTTTTTTTCTCTCACGGAATATTGACTTCCCTTGTTCCTTATCTCCTATAGTAGAAATATACTGTCCACTGGCCTGGCTTGAGGATACGCTCCTGAGGATAGGAACTTGTTAAGTCCTGTTAACCCTGATTCCCAATTCTTTACCTCAACTACTGGCAAAGATTTGGAAAATCTGGATCTATTGTACATTGGTGATGGGAATGTAAAATAGTACAGCCACTTGTGAAATCTGTTTGGAAGTTTCTTATAAAACTAAATGTACAAATACCCGTATATCTCAACGATTTCATGCTTGGGTGTGTGTCCTAGAGAAATGATAGCATACACTCACACAAAAACTCTACGTAAATGTCCATAGCAGCTTTATTTGTAATAGCCAAAAACTGGAATCAACCCATATGTCCTTCAAGAGGTGAATGGTTAAATAAATTGTAGAAAATACATATCACCAAATATTAGTAATAAAAAGTAATAAACTAAACTTGCAACAATTTGGATGAATTTTCAAGGAATTATGCAGAATGAAAAAAGCCAATTCAAAAAAGTTGTATATTATGTAATTCTACTTATCTAAAATGTATGAGATGGTAAAATTTATGGGATGAAGAAGAGATTATTGGTTGTCAATGGTTAGCGACATCTGAGGGGCAAGTGAGAAGGAAATGAGTGTGAGGACAAAATGGCAAGATGAGAGAGAGCCTTGTGATGTTGGCAATGTTTGGTGTCGTGCCTGTGACTGTTGTGGTAGACATGCAAAGATGACAGATGATAAAACTGTAGAGAGATTAATACCCACACCTATACATACATACAAATGAATACAGGTAAACCTGGGGAAAGCTAAGAGAGGTGGGCATATCAGTGAAGATATCATGGTTGCGATACTATAGTTTTGCAAAATATTACCACTGGAGGAATTGGACAAAATGTACATGAGGTATCTCTACATTACTTATTTTTGTATGTGAATCTGCAATTATCTGTGTGGTTTTTTTTTTTTTTTTTTTTTTTTTTTTTTGAGACAGAGTCTCGCTCTGTCGCCCAGGCTGGAGTGCAGTGGCGCGATCTCGGCTCCCTGCACGCTCCGCCTCCCGGGTTCATGCCATTCTCCTGCCTCAGCCTCCCGAGTAGCTGGGACTACAGGCACCGCCACCACGTCCGGCTAATTTTTTTGTATTTTTAGTAGAGACGGGGTTTCACTGGGTTAGCCAGGATGGTTAGCCAGGATAGTCTCGATCTCCTGACCTCGTGATACGCCCGCCTCAGCCACCCAAAGTACTGGGATTACAGGCATGAGCCACTGTGCCCAGCCTATCTGTGCTTTTAAAACATAGATCACTAACTAGTTGTCCCTCAAATGAGTGAATGTATGAATGAATTAATGATATTTAGTTGCCTGTTAATCTATAAGGAATGATGACTCATCTTCTTTTTTACTTTTTAACTGATGACCTAAAATTACATTTAGATTTGCTAGATTCATTCATACCAGCTGTAGCAAATAGAAAGGTGAGCATTTTTCTAATGGGAATGAAGTCGGTGGTATATTTAACTTCTAACGTTCATACTAAGTTCTAAGGGGGCAACCGTTGACTAAAGGTTAAACTAGAGTTTAAATTATTTTAGAGCTAAAGACACAGTTCTTGATAGATGATTCCCAATATTAAACAGATTTATGAATAGCATTATAATACTGTTAAGTTATTTAACGTATGATATATAGTTCGTGATCTCTTACCAATATACTGGGAAACTACATTGCCCAGATTCTGAGTAATGCGTACTTTATCAAGAATTTTCAAGATAAAAGTGCTGAGTAGATGCTATTAGGAATAATGCTTTAGAGATGTGTCACATTACAGCATCCGTATGCCTTTTACACCTAAAAGGAATCCTGTTCTTCTGTCTACAGTTCTCCAAAGACTCAGGCCCATTTGAAAAACATTCTGTTAGTATTCAGGTTTTATACGAAAATGGCTGCCCATTGTGTTATAATGTTATATGAACATATGGATATAGCATCAACTGAAAACATAAAATAACAAGTTATATTCCAAGTAGTTATGAAGAAGTACATAATCTGCTCTTTGATATCTCTTATAAAATAAAACCTGCCTAATGTAAACATACACAGAGTATTTAGGGGTGATCGGAGGACGTTCCAGGCCTTCCGATCATAGACCTTTTGATCAGCTCAGATCAACTGAACTGAATATTTGACAACCACATTTTGACGGTTGACACAAAGTACACATTTTTTCCTTGAAACCTTTGTGATTCATTTTGGAGGACAGTACCTGAACACCAACTTCTACTTTAAGCTCAACCTGGTAAGACATAACAAAACTACATTCTAAATGTTTATTTTCCTTGCTTCTGTGAATGAATTTCGCTCCTACTAAAGATGTGTAGGAAGTGGAGCTCATGGTGTTGTGTGGGTGTATTTTGTGCTTTCCACTTATTTTTGTGTAGCTTTCCAATTTTTGAGAATTGCAGTCTTTCCAAGTAAAGAATTTTATGAAAAATGTTTATAGATTGAGATTGTTGAAATAAGCATGGTAATTACCCATTTTCTGCATTCTTTAGTAATGTCAGTATTTCTAAATAGCTAGCTCCATTATTCTTTCCATGATATATCATTTTGGAGACGCACTTACTATATTTTGCAAAGCTTAGTGAAAACTTAATTTGAGTAGGGTCACATATGTAATATGGGTGCCAGGATAATTGGCCAATTAGCTGCAATGCCTTGAAACTTGATTTCTTCTTACCAATCCCAGTAATTGTCTTTAGAAACTCCTAAGTGGTGTTTCTTGAGAAAATACAGAATGTGCTATCAGCACAAGGCATTATAAGGAAGAACTACTTACAATCAAGTTTTAGACCCTCAAATATATTTGACATGTAATTTGGGCAGAGATAGTCAATAAATAACTAGTGGTTTTGGGATAAGTGCTTAGGACCCATGGCTCCTGGGTACGCAGGGAATATATATATGTGTGTGTTGTATGTGTATATATATTCTATATATATGCTATATGTAATGTGTATATATACACTATATATACACACTATATATGTAATTACATATGTATGTTATTATGGTATATTCTATTGTGTGTATATATAGCGTTTATATATGTTGGGAAACGAGAGATTATT